GCTAAGATAGCAACAGGCCTGGGGAGAATCACAGGGACAGAAGGGTCTGAGTTAGAACCATCTGATCCCAAAGATAGATATTTTGCTAGAACCAAGGTTGAAAGTGAATCCATACCTTCACCTGAATTGTTCAGGGAAATGGTGGAAGGTCAGTTGGACAGACCAGTTATTTTCCAATGCCAGGGGGGAATGAGAGGAAATTTTATAATGCGGAACTAGCGGACCTATTCCCAGTTCCCACGATAGACAGCCCTGTGGCAGCCTCCATGTCTGCTACAGTGTTGGCTAACAAAGCTGAGGATGGTCTAAAAGGGGAGGATAAAAAAACAGAACAGACTCTACAAAAAGTTCACCAGGCCATGGCATGAGTGGTAAAGGCAACATCCACGGCATCATTTTTCAGCAGAGCAGTCCTGATATGGATTGAACAGATGCAGGAAAGGATGCCACCTGGAGATCTTCGATTGCAACAGGATTTGAACAAACTAACTGCTGCAACAGAGTTCATAGCAGACACCACACTTAATGGGGTCAAGCACGCAACTAAGGCCATTGCAGCTTCAGTGGCTGCAAGGAGACTTGTTTGGCTCCGCCACTGGCAGGCAGATCTGAAACATAAATGGAAACTGGCATCAGCTCCAGTTAAAGGGGACAAGCTTTTTGGGGAGGCCATTGAGCCATTACTGATTGAAACCAAGGACAAGAGGAAGGTCTTACCCAGGAAACTTGGTCAGGCAGATAGCCGACCTTCTCCATATACATGGCAACAGCCCTTTCCTATCTCGGGGGGTGGCTTCAGCCACTCCCCATACACACAGAGACAGTACATACAGACCCCTAGTGGACATCCAGATAGGTCAGGATTTAGAGATAGGGGTGGACAACGGTCCCAGGGAAAGCGCCCCTTCTGGAGTTCGACTGGCAGGGCCTTCCGGCATACAAAGTGACGGCTGGAACAATGCACCCATCGGCGGGAGGCTGGGCCTATTCACCAACCGATGGGCATCAACTAGAATGGACAAGTGGGTCCTAGACACATTAAGAAAAGGCCTAGTTCTGGAATTCATCTCCATACCCCCGAGCTCATTCAGAAGATGCCCGACACCAAGGGACAGAATCAAAAGGGTAATTATGGAAACAGCAGTTCAACATCTGCTGGACATTCGGGCAGTACAAGTGGTACCAGAGAATGAACAGGGACAGGGTTCTATTCAAACCTGTTTGTTGTGCAGAACGCGTCGGGGGGGGGGAGACCAATTTTGGATCTCAAATTACTAAACAGGTACATAATATACAGGAGATTCAAGATGTAGTCCCTGCAAGCTATACTAGGGAGCATACGGGGGGGATGTCCTGACATCAATAGACCTCGCAGATGCTTACCTACACATACCTCTTACCAGGCCCATTAGAAAAATGGAAGCATTGTTCATTTCATTTAGACCGAGTTCATTGGGACAAAGGGTTTCACCATCTACCACAGGCAGATGGATGAAGACATGTATCACAAAAGCTTATGAAAGTCAATCACTGCAATTGCTGTGTAACATAATGGCACATTCAACCAGGAATGCAGCCACATCAGTGGCATGGAACACACAGGCCTCGATTGAAGAGATCTGTAGGGCAGCAGCATGGTCATCGCCATCTCCATTCATCAGAAATTATAAACTGGATACATTTTCATCAGCAGAAGCATCCTTTGGAAGAACAGTACTACAAAGTGTTCACACGGAGATGGGGGCTCGGGACAAGGAGTTGGCCCAACCTCAGGACAATTAGCTTGGGTACATGCCATGCTTTGGATTCTCTGACCCGTGCAACTGAGAAACAGTGTTGAGCTTACCTGAAACGCATCTTCTAGTTGTACGGGAGGAGAATCCAAATCCCACTCTTAGATAGTTAGTCCAAGCTCAGAACGGTCAAGAACGAGCACCAAAGAACTCTCCAAGTCGATCATCAACCTTCATCAAAAACTGGGCATGCGCAATGGAAAGGGGGCTGGACTAAACTTTGATCAACTCCGTCTTTAAGCAAGGAAGGAGACAGCCCATGCTTTGGATTCTCCTCCCATACAACTAGAAGATATGTTTTAGGTAAGCCCAACGCTCTGTCCAGTTGCCTCTTGAAAATGCACCTTTGGGACAAGTACATGGAAGCTGTCAATGTGAAAACCGAGAAGCTTCTCACAATGTATTTTGTTTCCATCACAAGTCCAACAACCAGAAACTCTGCACCAGATGCAAAGAGGATGATTGGGAACTAGTAAGTGTCAAAGTCACTGTCATGGATGAAATCTAGACCACCCAGGAATATATCAGCAAGATGGCTCCCAAAGATGAGTTGCTGAGAGAATGCCTTGGGCAGCAGCAGTGGGAGGATGATCAAGCAGAATAAGTACCATGGCAATTCAATTGTGATGGCTCCCTTGGGCACCAGCTCAAGCAAGGAGGAAGAAGAACTGGCTCTGGGAGCACCTTAGAGGGACTATGGGACCACCAGGGGAATGTGGAAAACTCTGTGATAGTTTCAGATAGTCTAGGTGAGGCAGTGCAAGGAATGTAGGAGGAATCTGGGAGAGAGCAGCTGGATAAACATCTGGCTGTGCAGCCAGAAGGAGAGACATAGCTGCAGCCAATTAGCATGATAACCAGCTAGCCCCTTGGGCTGGAGAAGAGACACACCTGCAGCTCACTGATGGAGAAAAGGTCGAGTTGCCACCCCACATAATCCAAGGTCACACAGACCTGAGAGGTACAATAGAGGTCAGCAAAGCTACTTGCGAGGAGGCAGCCTGAGTCTTTCTAACAAGGTGCACCAGTCGGCACCTTATTTACTTCAGTGTTTAGAGCCTGGGGGATGTCAGAGACAACTGTTCATAATCCATCCATCTGTGAATGTTCTCAATCCATTTTCTTGAAGCCATTAAGATCCTGTTGCTGTCATTGTGCCTTTAACTCATTGATGCCAAATTATGTTCATTGTGTCTTGCTTCAGTTTTGTTTCCCCATTGTACCTTGAGCCCATCTGACCAGCGGCTGCACCTTGAACTCTGAGCATCATGGAGCTGCTGTTCTGCTGGTGCAGTTCCTGTGCCTTAGGTGCAAAAAAGACTGCATTCTGACTTCCCTCATTGCCTTTGTTATATCCATATAATTTAGAACTGACTTTAAAAAAGACTGTTCACAAAGAGTTGGGATCTGGGAAATTACGATGGGCTTGGATGTGCAAAATAAGCATGCTGATTTCATTTGGGTTATGTGTGTGTAGATTGAGACAGGACAAAGACTCTGTATGGGATGAACCATTAACAGATAGTTAACATGGCAGATGTTGGGAAATCTTATCAGTGACTGGAATGGGCTGGACTAAAAGACAGTACTAAGGCACTTATCATAGCAGCACAAATACACAAATACAAACACAATAGATACTAAGCAGCAATTCAATAGAAGTGGGTTTATTACTTCTACACAGGACCCAAACTGCAGACAGCATAGAGAGTCATAGTTCTGAGACAGTTCAACACATAGTGGCAGGGTATAAGATGCAGACAAAAACAGCATATACTGAATGGCACAACCAAGTAGCTTGCATTATGTATAGGAACATCTACATAGAATCCAGATGGTCATAAGGTCATAAAGGTCACAAGAAAGCTAAGATCTTGTGAGACCTTCCAGATCTAGACAGACAGACAGGTACTGGCCAATCAAGCATATATTATGGTAAATATAATTCTAATAGACAAGGACTACAAGCAGTGATGGTGATAGATGTAGTGCTGCCAAGTGACAGCAAAATCGGGAAGAAAGAGTACAGTTTGACTACAGCTTGATTTAAAAAAAGAAAAGGAAAAGAAAAAAGAAAAACTGGAGCCTGAAGGAGGAACTGGATATGGAAGGTAAAGTCTGAAGTGGCAGTAGGAGCACTTAGAGCTATGACTCCTAAGATGGGAGAGTGGCTTCAACAGATTCCTGCTTAGGACAAGTAAAATTTTGTATGATAAAATGGATACAAAATTTTAAAGAAACAATTAAATTAAACAATGGGAAATCCTATGGAAGAATTCATTCAAATTTATTTCAAATTATACATTATTTATAAAATAAAATAAAAGCAAATGTTGAATTGAAAAACCATTTTTTTCCTATTAGGAACAAATAAACTTTATTAAGATATAGGCTGACAGTTGCACATATAAACGTTTGAAAAGAAATGCTTTGTTGACTATATCAAATAATAAAAACTAACTAGGAAATATTAGAAATGGCAAAATGAATGGTATACAACCAAAACATAAGTTTAAAAAGATTCAAAAATAACTTTTGTCTATATTATAGGGTACAATATAAGACAAATATTGAAGAAGAATTTTTAAGGGAAAATATTTCATGTAAAAAATAATAACAAGAAGCAATTCTAACGTCAATCAAACAAATTTTATATAAACATTCATTCTTATTATGTAATCACCAGAAAGGTATACAATAGAAGGGAGTTTAGAATTCAATCTGTCAGAAAGAGAAGAATGGTTCAAAAATCTTAAAAATAAATATAAATAAATACATTTTTTAAAAAACCTACTCTGTTTTTCCCTAGAACATATATATTTATTTTAGGAATAATTATAAATGGTGGTGATATTTATATAAATATTAATGTTTAGAGTTTTGTAGGGATTTTAAATTATTTCTTAGCATGTTATAATGAGGACAGTTTATATATTCAATTATTTAATTAATGAAGTAATAAATTTTAATTTTTATGTCAATTGTAAATTCTCTCTTTATTTTCCAACCATTATTTATTTATTCCACTTTCTAACTTTATGTACTTTATGTGAGTATATTAAAATATCATAATCATAATTCTCTCCCCCCCCTCCCTCCCTCTCTCTCCCTCTCTGTTTAGGAATCAAATCTTCAACCTAGGAAACCTGGATAAATTTGAGGCAATCATTCTCTCTCATGCCAACCTACCTCACAGGTTGAGTGTTGTGAAGGTAAAACAAAAGGAGATCCTTTCTAAAAGTTGCCATGAGTTCTTGGAAGGAAGGTGAGATAAAATCTAACAACTAAATAATATACTGATACTGTAATTCTAATAAATTTATATCACATACACACACATATTTCTTACCATATATATTTAATATTCTAGATATGTGATATGTTTTAGCAATTGCATTGCTAAATGCAAATGGGCTCTTAGGAGACATTTCAAATATATAGCAATAGCAATAGCACTTAGACTTATATACTGCTTCACAGTGCTTGACAGCCCTCTCTAAGCGGTTTTAACAGAGTCAGCATATTGCCGCCAACAATTTGGGTCCTTATTTTATCTACCTTGGAAGGTTGGAAGGCTGAGTCAAACTTGAGCCTTGCTGAGATTTTTTTTTTTTAATAAAAATTTTATTTGGGTTTTCACAAAAAATAATACAAGTAAAATTTCTTTTTTTGAGAATAGCATGGTCCCGGATTATCACTTCTCCATACAGACACAAATTCAATTTCATATTCATCTTTGTGTTCTATTCCATATTTTATTACTATTTTAACATTTTCTCAATAATTTTTCCCTTCCCTTAGTTTTCACAATCTTACTTTTAATCATCTCCTTCCTTCCGAAATTCAATTACATATATCTTTTTCTAAGTTTCAATATCTTTCTAGTCATTATATTTATACTTTTGTCTGTCCTGTTTCAATTTCATATTTTCTTTTCTCATTAAACAAAAATTTTCCCTGTAGTTACGAATTGGAGTATGACACCTTTGTATCTTTTAATTTTTATCCATTCAACTCTTATTTAAACTTCAGTTATGCCTTTACAATTATAACATTCAATATAACACATAATTTCCAGTCGAATTCTGCTTGGTCCATTCTTAAAATACACACTAAGTTCTTAAAGAGAAAATATATATATAACAATAATAAATAAAATACTTATTCTATTCCAATTCAGCTCTATCATTAATGTTAGTTATAATCTTTGACATCTTTAACATTTCTTTTCAATAGGGTATCATACTTCTAGGAACACTTATTATATTTCCATAATTTTTTCATGTTTCTTTCATTTCCTCTTCACTTAAATTTTTATAACACATTTATAATAATTAAAATGTTCCCCTCCTTTCCTAATTTCATTCTCTCATTCTCTTTATTTCATTTATTTATTAAACATTCCATTACATTACAATGAGTATTTTATCTATCATTTTAATCACACTTGTTTCATATTTTCAAAGTTCATTTCTATTTCTAATATAACAATACTATCTTATGTACCCTTGCAGAATCCCCCTTTCAATTTTCACCCATTATCTGTGTCTTCTAAATAGGCTTGTACCCTTAATCCTTGTACATTTTTCCTGTTCTCTATGTCCTGTTTCTGTCCTTTATAATTTCTTTTCCTTTCCCTCTTCCCCCTCTTCTTCTCCCTTCCCTTCTTGACCTCTTCTCTAATTCTGATTCTCTCTTCTGTAATCCTCTCTTCTTTTTCTTCCTAATGTTGTAATTACTTTTCAAACTATTCTTTTTGGGGGTTGTTTTTTCAAATCTTAAATTTTTCACTCTCTTTCCCCCCTTTCCTTTCTTTTCCCCACATAGAAATACTTGGTCATTGAAGATGGCTTCTTGTTTGTCCCGCCCTTCTTGTTCTACAGGCATTTCTTGTTGTTTCTCATAGTTCAGGATCTCCATTTCTAAAAATTGAAATACAAAGCCAAAAGAACCTCTTCCTTCTTGTGCATCTTCTTTCTGTTTTTTAAATTCCATTCTCAATTCTTCCAAGAGTGATACCATTTTAAAAACTTTTAAACAACCACCTGATTAATTTTAGTCCTTTAGATCCAATAGCCAAATATCACCAAGTAATCCAAATAATCCAAAGCTGTTTCTTCTTGCTTCTTTTTTCCCACTTTCTCTTCCTGGGTTCTCTTATCTTGTTACAAAGTTTCAGTTAAAATGTATCTTTTAGGAATCTTGTTAAAGTTTCACTGTTAATTCCTTTCACTTCCAGGTGGTCTCCTCCATTTTTCCAGATCCTACCCTTTTGGTTTTTTTCCCTTCTTTTAAAAGTTTTTGAGAATCCAGAAATCTTTATTATCCCTTTGACATTTTATTTTCAGCTTAAATACCTGTTAATGTCAAAGTGGATTTTTGCTGGTTTCTTGCTTAAATCTCTTAGTTGTCAATATAGGGAAGAAAAAAACACCACCACCAAATCGTTTCCCTTCCCTCTCTCATTCGCCGCTTCAAAGTCTCCTTTGGGAACAATGTTGTTCTTTATAATTCAAATTCCAGGGTACCTTATATTATTGCTTTTTCAGTTCGACCCGGTCAGCCAAAACTTTCTCTTCTTATCTTCCTTCTGCACATTCTTTTCCGGTCGAGTTCTTCTTTGAGGTGGCCATTTCTTTTTCTTTTTTTAATTTTTATTGATTTTTAAAACAAACATGAACAAACAAAACATAAAAACATCAAGCCATTTTCCATATATATATATACATACAGTGTGCCGGTTGGTTTACAAATTGTTTTGTGCTTCCATTTCGTAGTCTTCAATTACAATTACATTGTATATACTCTCGTACTTTCAATCAAATATTAAATACATTAATATCATTATTAATCAATCATTTGACTATACTTTTATTCATTCATGTTTTACGAAATAATCATATTTTACTTAATTTGTTTTATAACGGTTCATATTATCATCCCAAATCTATCCTAAAATCATTTTGTAGATATAATAAGAAAAGAATACATCTTTATATATTTATTATTTTCTAAGAATCTACATATTTCATTACTAAGTTTTATTGTCTAACCATTGATAGAATAGATCCCAAATTTTATAAAATTCTTTATCCTCCTGTTCTCTAATTTCAAATGTCAATCTACTCATTTCAGCACATTCCAATATTTTCTTAATGATTTCCTCCTGTGATGGTATCTTCTCATTTTTCCAGTTTTTAGCAAATACAATCCTAGCTGCTGTTAATACATTTACAATCAGGTATTTCAAGTCTTTACTATATATTTCAGGTAAAATTCCCAATAAAAATATCTCTGGTTTTAAATCTATATGGTTTTTTTGTCATTTTTTCCAACCACGTGTGGATTTTAGTCCAGTATTTTTTAGCATCCGCATATGTCCACCACATATGGTAATATGAGCCAGGTGTCTGATGACATTTCCAACATTTTTTGGATTTATTCTTGAACATTCTTGCTATTCTTGTCGGGCGGAAATGCCACCTGTAAAACATCTTATACAAAATTTCTTTATATGCTGTTGACATTGTCATTTTATAATTTTGAGACCACAGTTTTTGCCATTTCTCTAACTCAATCCCATATCCAAAGTTCTTCCCCCAAGCAATCATTGTTTCTTTGACTTGTTCTTCTCCTAGTTTAATTTCTAATAAATATCCATACAAATTTATTAATCACTTTTTCATCAGTACCTGTCAAAATCTTATCTAAGTCAGTCAGTTTATCATAGAAACCTTCTGTTTTAGAATCTTTATCATGCCTTGAATGTATTTACGCATATGAAAACCAATTCATCTTTATACCTTGTTCCTCTAATTTTTGCATAGATTTAAGTTCACCCTTTTCATTCAATATTTCACCATATCTAACTGTTTGTTCCTTTTTCTATATTATAGGATAAGAAAATGCTTCAATAGTCGATAACCAGACTGGAATTTTCAAATAACATTGTCTTTTAATCTTCTCCCAGTTTAACCACAGAGACTCCCGTATATAATGTCTTCTAAAGTACCCCTGTATTTTAGTTCCCTTGTACCATAAAAAAGCATGCCAGCCCAACAAAAAATCATGTCCTTCTAATGTCAACAATCTAGTATTTCTTAATGTTATCCATTCCTTAACTCACATAAAATTTGTAGCTTGGTAGTACAACTCCCAATTAGGCAAACCAAATCCTCCTCTTATTCTAGCATCTTGCAAAAGTTTTAACTTTATTCTCGCTTTCTTACCTTGCCATATATATTTCAACACAATTTTATTTAAATCTTCAAAGTAATCTTTTCCAAGCCTAATTGGAATTGTTTGGAACAAATATAAAATTCTGGGTAATATATTCATCTTGATTGTTAATATTCTCCCTATTAATGACAGTTGTAAATTTTCCCATTTCGCCAGATCTAGCGCTATCTGCTGCTTAAGTTTGATATAATTATTCTCTTTTAGTGTACTGCATCTTGCTGTCAAATATATCCCCAAGTACTTGATCTTATTCGTAACCTGGATTTTCAATAGATCTGCCAGTTCTTCCTTTTGTCTTGATAACATATTCTTTGTCAAGATCTTTATCTTATCTTTATTTATTTTCAAGCCAGCCACCTTTCCATATGTCTCTATCTTTTCTATCAATTTTGATGCTGTTTCTAGTGAGTCTTCTAAAATGAAAACCAGATCATCTGCAAATGCTTGGAATTTAAATTCTTCCTTTTTTATTTTCATCCCTTTTATATTCTTTTCATCTCTAATATTTCTATTTAGCACTTCCAAGGTTAACACAAACAACAGAGGTGATAGTGGGCACCCTTGTCTTGTTCCTTTTCTTATATCAATAGAGTCTGTCAGTTCTCCCTCTATCATTACCTTTACCGTTTGCTTATGATATATAGCTTCTATTGCTTGAATAAATTTTTTAGCAAAGCCCATCTGTTCCAGCAGTAATAACATGAATCACCAATTCACATTATCAAATGCCTTCTGTGCATCTAAAAATATCAAAGCCATTTGTTTTTCAGGATGTGCCTCGTAGTATTCCAAAGTGTCCAAGATTACTCTCATATTGTCTTTAATTTGTCTCTTTGGCAGAAATCCTTTTCGATCAGGATGGATAAAATTGTTTAAGTATTTTTTAAGTCTTTCTGCCAATATTGAAGCAAAAATTTTATAATCTGCATTTAGTAAGGAAATAGGTCTATAGTTCTTGATTTGTAAGGGATCGGCCTCCTCTTTTGGAATAAGTGTAATATAAGCTTCTGACCATGATTTAGGTAT